CCCCCCCATCAAGGGTACAGGGCCAAGCCTCTCCACCTGCCGGCCTGAGGGGAGGGGCAGGAGAGGGTGGACCCTGAGATCAGCTAGTCAAGAGGGGTCAAAGGCCAGCCACCTAGTGGAGGGGTGGAGGGTGAGAAGTCAGTCGCCAGAGAAGACGGAAGGAGTGGCTGGAGTGATGACAGACACTGGGCGCTCTGGAGGAGGGGGGAAAGGGGTATCAGAGCCCCCCCATCCCAGGCCGGGTCCAGGTAGGCACTGGGTGACCCCGGACAACTGCCCAGTCCGCCAAGGTGGGTGCAGGCTTTGGTCTACAGCAGAGGTTTAGGAACTGGCCGAAGGCCACCAACCAGCCTGTGAGCAGGCCCTGGGGGACAGGACCTAGTGACCCAACGCCAGAGTCCAGGAGGTGGCTTCCGCTCAAGCTAGGGTCAGAGGTCACCCTGAGGAGGGCCACAGCTTCTCCGGGGAGCAGGAGTGGGGCAGAGAGGTACTGCCTTGGGGGAGCGAAGGGTTAGGGGAGGAGCCCCGGTGGATACTGCGGCTCTGCCTGTGGCGACCCTACCCCATGATTCCTTGGGGGGGGCCCTTGTCTGATATGCTCTTTCCTTGGTTTCCAGGGCCTTCCAGGACCTCGGGCTATAACCTGCTCCCCTCTCCCCCCAAGGTCCCCATGCCACCTGATTCGAGCAGCAGCTCCTGGGGGTCCAAAGACCTGCAGTTCCGGGGTCGTCGGCTCAGAGCCCTGGGTCGCTCGGGGCCTGGCCGGGGTCAGGGGCTGGCTGCAGTGGATGCTCTGAGGTCAGCCCTGGAGGTGGACTCCGGCCCGAGTTCTCCGGCCCAAGGATGTCCAGGCCCAAGGCCAGCACCAGACCCAGCAGCCAAACCTCCAGCCCCGTGGTGTTTGCCACACCTGAAGCCCATCACCCCAGCCCAATCCCACCCCTAGTGTAAACCCCACCCGCTGCCCAGCTGGCTGGACAGGACCAAGGGGACCCAGCGCCTTTGAGGCTCCTCATAGAACCCAGATCATCTGGGGGGAGGTCGTGCGGGAGGAGGTGGGCCTGGCACAGAGAGGCCCCTCTTGCTGGAGAGAAGTGGGGAGTTGGGACCAGCCGGGAGGAGGCGCAGGGCCCCCACTTCTGTGGGGCAAACCTTCCCAGGCCTGGAAGAGACCCGGGGGGCGGGGGGGACCGCCCCTGGAGCTGTGTCTGGGGCCAAGCGCTCGCCTTAGGCATTCAAGAGTGCGGCCGGGCCCCCATCCCAGGCGGACTTGTAGGGACGGGGCGGGGACACCGGGAAACCCAGAGAATCCTTTCGACTCCCAGGTGTACAGAAATGCAGTTTACTTCGTAGGTGACGTTGGTTCAATAAATCAGCTGGCAC